CGTTACTAAGTCTAGGTGTGGTGCACTACATGGGATTCAGCCGTTATTAGGTTTCGGTGCAGTGCACTACATGGGCTTCAGCCGTTACTAGGTCTAGCTGTGACTGCAAAGCTGATGTTCTCTCTCTTCTGGTTTACTTTTAATTCCCAAAGGAGTGGTAAGTGACTCCCCTTAGGGGACACTTTTACCCATCTAGTATCGTGGGCACCCTGCCCAGAAGATGCCATCCTGGGCAACTGCTTTTCTTGTCCTTGCCAGGGTCCACCACTGCCTGGACCCCAGCCTGCTTCATGGTGGCCATTCTAACATAGTCAGAGTATTTCCTCTCTCCCTTTTATGTACGTAGGTTTGTCGCCTCCAGCCACTGAGAAGTTCCCCCTCACGCCTCCCATTTGCCCCGTGACAGACTCAATACAGTGCAGAGATGGAGCCTCCAGACCGGACCAACTGGGATTCTGGGCACCACAACCATTCCACAGTTGCCGTGGGTAACAGCTCTGTAAATGTGTCTGGACAGAGTATGCCATTTCAGGGCGGGAGCACCATGGTGACAGCAGTCATCTCGCTGACGGTGTTTGTCATTGGTCTGATGGGCAACACGCTGGCCATCTACGTGGTACTGCGCTATGCCAAGATGAAGACTGTCACCAACATCTACATCCTCAACCTGGCTGTGGCTGATGAATTGTACATCCTAGGCCTGCCCTTGCTCACCACTCAGAACGTTCTCTCCTACTGGCCCTTTGGCTCTTTCTTGTGTCGTGTGGTGATGACTGCGGACTCCATCAACCAGTTCACCAGCATCTTCTGTCTGACAGCCATGAGTATCGACCGCTACCTGGCTGTGGTCCACCCAATAAAGAGCACGAAGTGGCGACGGCCAAGGGTCGCTAAGGTCATCAATGCTGCAATCTGGGCTCTCTCCTTTGTGGTGGTTCTGCCAGTCGTCATCTTCTCTGATGTACAGGACATGTTCAACACCTGTAACATGAACTGGCCAGAGCCCAAGGCTGCCTGGTCCACAGCTTTCATCCTGTACACGGCCATCCTGGGCTTCTTTGGTCCTCTGCTGGTCATCTGCTTGTGCTACCTGCTCATCGTCATCAAAGTGAAGTCGTCCGGGGCGCGGGCAGGCTTCACCAAGCGGCGCAAGTCCGAGCGCAAGGTGACACGCATGGTGGTCATCATCGTGGTGGTGTTTGTAATCTGCTGGTTGCCCTTCTTCCTTAGCAACATGGTCAACCTGGTCGTCATTCTGCCCGAGAACAATGTCATGGCCGGCATCTACTTCTTCACCGTCATCCTGTCCTACGTCAACAGCTGCGCCAACCCAGTGCTTTACGGTTTCTTGTCTGACAACTTCAAGCAGAGCTTTCGCAAAACCCTATGTATTCACAAGGCTAACGGGGTGGAAGACGGCGACCCCAGCCTGCCTCGCACAGAGAAGACCACCGTCAACGACACTTTCCTTACTCCGAGGAGCCATGACTTCAATGGGCACATGCAGAACAGCCAGGTACAAGCATCCCTGACGTATCAACTTGCCTCCCATCCACAATCCCTGAACCAAAGCTGACATATATAGAGCTCCTTGAATAGATATGAGCTCAAGATATCACGTTTAACTCAAGGACGTACAGTTTAAATGGGAATAAAGAATCAGTGGCAGGTAGGCGAGAGTGACGCATCCAGCCGATCCATGTCATGTGTTTTTCAGCCACAGTGAGCTCATAATAGTCACCAGCTAGCAATTAGCTGCTCCCATCCTGGCTGTAAACGGCCCTCATTGATGCTGGGGAATTGTTGTTTGTTAGGAGGCTGCTGGCAGGTGGTGCCAAGGTCCGGTCCATGGGTACCAGGCTCCAGTCCATAGACTCACTAGCCTCTGTCGGCCCAGAGTTGGGTTTCTACTGTCTGTGGCCACGTTGTGTGATGAGGAGGGACAAAGACAGAGAAAATTGGTCGGATCAGACTGAGATGACCTTTTTCTGGAAAAAAAAACAGAAGGATCTGAAAATTTTATTGGTGTAAAGGAGGGGCTGGAGACTTGGAGGAGGGGGGGTGTTCAGGAGGGGGAAGGGCAAAGAGGAGCTACACGTGAGACCGTAGGGGCCGGTGGCACTGGAGGGACATTTGCGTCTGCTGATATTAGTATTCATTTTCCCTAGAGGCTTTCTTTGTTTATCTGAGTAAATGTGCTAAAATAGTACAAATATCACAGCAAGAGCAGGCCAGGCAAAGTTAAAGAAGACTTGTGGGCGTGCGTGGACGGGCCCTTTTGCTCATCCCCGTAAACGGAGACTTTGCGCTGGAATGAAAAGCAAAGCCGCAGATCTTTTAGTTAGTAACACAATGCTGGCTGGATTGGAAAAGGGCCGGCAGGCTGCTATCTGTGCTCCGTGGTCAGGCTCTCTTCATCTTTATTTGGCTTCATGGATGTTGAGCTGCACATGCATAAATGCACGTTTAGCCTTATGAACCTGCAGAACTGCAAAAACACACATGCATTCAGAGACCCGTTGGCTGAAAACACTACAACACTCTCTCCAAAAATCAGTGCTTATACGATGTCATTGCATATGTAGTCCTCACAAGTTACTTATATTACTGGGATTATACATTAGGAGTCTTTCATTTTTAATCTGTTTATCATGTATCCTTCACCAAATTCAACTAACTGACCCATAAGACAAAATGGAAAATCTCAGGAAGAACAATATGACACCTGATCGTAGTGCATTCAGATCTAGAACTCAAACCCCTTTCACTTACCTGTGCAAGTGCAGCAACAGACAAAAACCTGTTCATAGTCAGAATGAAGATAAAACAGCACGTTCTCCTGTGCTGGGGTAAAATCTGGCAGGACCTTGCTTCCACAGTAAAATCAGAAGAGTTTATATGATCCAGGTTGTTCCTCCTATGAGGCCCAAGGGTATAGATTAGGGTATGGACAGTAGGGACATGTCGCTACCAATAGTGTTAGACTGTGTGTGAGGGGGTTTCACAGCTGATTTGGTCTTTGGTCAAACCAAACCTACGCCCTTGATGAGGCCTCTTAACTGCACCTACTTTTCATTCATCTCTGTTAAGAATCTTTAAAGATTCTTGCTAATTTAAGGTCACCAGATAATCCATGTCACGGAGGACACTGAGCCAGGACTTGTCGGATTTCTAAAATGCTATTTCAATTTAAAGGATATAGATTTTACTTAAGCACTGAGTTCCTGCTGTGTGCTGACTGGTCAGTGTCCTATAATCATACATATGTCACTAATGTTAACGTGAAACAGCTGTATGAGACTTTCAATCAGTCAAAACAGTCAAAGCATACGGACTGTTTAGCCAAACACAGGAACCTTTCAGTTTTAAAGTGGTTTGTAAAACCTGAGATACTTCATAGACTTCTCCCTCACATGGATTATCTAGTCACCCTATGCTAATTGTGCACATATTGACTTGAAACTTTTTCCCTGTGTTCCCTGTGGTGTGGCACTAACGAGCCACACCTGTTCCTCGTTTAACCCTGCCTCTCATTTCAGCCCTCGTGTGGATGATCCCAGGTGCCTCTCGTCTGCTCCCTCATCTGTGGTGTATATAGTTCCTCCTCGTCCTGAACTCCCCAGTCTGGTCGTTGTATTGTTGTGTGTGATCCTGCTGACTGCCTCTGCTCTCCCCTCTGCTCTCCCCTCTGCTCTCCCCTCTGCTCTCCCCTCTGCTCTCCCCTTGGTTGGAATAAAGCCCCTTCCGTTTTCCCCGACGCCTGCCTTCACCTCCCTCCTTTCTGAGTCATGACAGCTTGCCACACTTGGATATGTTCAGGTGTGCTTCAAGGCCCAGGTCTAAGACCAGGTTGTGTTATGTCTCAGATAGTGGTGGCTCATATTCAATCAGCCATCATTAAGGTCACTACTTGAATCAGGGCATGTAAACATTTGGGGAGGGTCATCTCAGAGTCAACTCCTGTAGACAGGGCTGGAGAGCAACATGTTCCAGAAGTTCTTCTGTGTAATTAGTTTGTCCATTTCAATCCCCCCCCACCTCTGTTTTTGGTCTTATCTGTCAGTCCTTTTATGTCTGTTTGTGGTTGTTTTTGTATCTGTGTCCCTCTACTGCTGTTTCAGGTTGTCTTGTATCTCTGTGTCCCTCTACTGCTGTTTCAGGTTGTCTTGTAGTACAAGAGACAGCGCTGGTTCTACCCTTTCTTTTTGATGAATTGTGACAGTAGTTGTATTGATTTATGTAAATGCACAATCTTGACTACCTTGTGGGTCTAAAAATACAAAGATCTAGACAAAACATAGGTGGAACCAAGTTGATAGGACTTACTAGTGTACATTTTATGTTGCGAGCTTCCATTTGTGATGGTTTTAAATGTTGTTGTCTTTGCAGGGCATCAAGTTGAAGCCTTGTGGTAACTCAGAGGTGGAGCCCAACCCCACGGGGCCCATGGTGATTGGCCAGTCCACTCTATAAACTCTGCAATCTTTTTCTCCCTCCCTCAATCTCTCTCCCATCTATCTTCACTCCCCAACCTCTTACCACACGCCTAAGGTCTCCCCACACACCCAAGCAGTACAGCCTCCTCTGGGCGACCTCCGCCCACATCAGCAGCTCCCCTCAGCAGCATCATCTGTCCCGTTGCTGTTAGCACGCGACCTCTGATCTCCCTTTGAACCAGGGGCCATCAGACCACTTCTGCAGGTAAAAAGGGACTTAGGAACAATGTTCAGCATTGTTGAATGGCTGGAAAAGAGGGAAGCTGGTAAAATACACCCAAAGGCATCGAAGCACACAGACAGGCATGTCCATATGCTCATGAACATGCCTGGTCTAGTGTGCAGAGATAAGCGATCAGCCAAAATGCGCAAAGCAGTGCGGTTTCCCTTTGGTGAAGCTGAGGAACCTGACTCAGCATTGGTGCATCTGGCAGCTGGGGTGTGTTATCCGACATCACGTGATCTGGGTCACGCCAGCCACACGTAACACAGCCACATCACCATCCTGCAACCTGGACCCCGCATGAAGACTGTAACACATCCGGTAAAAGCAAACGCAGCCTGCTGTCTGTCACATCCAGCCCCATCCCCTTCGACCGACCTCTGTCCAGAAGTACAGCATTCTGCTGTGACCTCACATCACCAGGTTGGCATTCTGGGTAAAAATCCCACATGCGATGCCAGACTGCCGCGCGGCGCTCATATGAGGCTGTATAACTTATGTAAGCAGTGCTGTTTCAGCCTTATCGCTTCGTACCACTGCACTTGATGCACGTCTGCACTCTGTCGTCTGTGTGCGGCCAGCTTTCTCCACTTCCTGGTTGTCCTGTAAACGTTTAGCAAATTATGGATGGAAGCGGGGTGAGGCCCAGTCTCCACTCCGCCTTCAGTGTGCTGTCTTTTTTGTGATTTTGTGACATACAGCCAATTCCTGTGTGCTTGTCATGTGACCACGGTGGCTCCGCCCCGCTCCATGCCCTCGTCCTGTGTAGTTGGGTAAGCTGCTAAACACCCCCAGTTTAACATGCCTTCGACTCTCCATGCGTCCTTGTGCACATGGTGAATGTGAGCACCAAATGTCAGCAGCATCAAAAAAGCGTCTTTCTGCACCTCTTTGGTGGAACTGTAGCACTGTCCCTATTGGTTAATAAAAATGTAATGGAAAATTATCAAGGCTGTTATCGGCAATGTTTCACTCATGATGCCTGAATGTGAAGGGAGGGGGGTATAGTCATCGTGAGACTTATTTAATCATTTCTTCCACAGGTTTATTAACTATAAATTTTTCACACTGGGCTTGCAGAGGCAATATAATACGGGAAACTGGAATTGGACTTTTTATTGGGGTACCTTAGACAATCACTGTTTATTCAGTATAGTCCAACACGCAAGCAAAGCCATGGTCCATATCCCTTCCATCCCGCCTGTCTGTTTGAAGATGGCCGCTTAATGAATATCTGTTTGGACCAACCAGGGACACATCAACAGGTCACCTGATCGGGGCATATGGCAGCCACCTGGATGGAGACCCTTATAGCCACAGACACACGACAGCTGACTGTTAAAATGCGCAGACACTCATGTCATCTGACCTGGGTCTCGTCTCCCATCACTGTTTGCCTGTATGACACTAAGGGTGACGATATACAGGACAACTTTATGTTTCTGGGCAATGATGCCGACCAGTCTTGTTTCCCATTTACACTGGGCCACAAATCTCTATTGGAAAATTTTGATCAGCAGTGGGCAACTTTTCACAATCATGTAGATCCAGATGAGTTGCCCTTTGTCTCACCTGGCTGGCAGTTGCCAGGCAACATTGCTCAAAAAGTTGCCCTGAGTATCATCACCTTAACACATGATAACAAACACAGAGGCTGTGTTAATCACCCAGCCCCTCCTTCGTCTCTTTATATCTCTTGTACTCCCTCCTTCACCTTTCCCTCCATTAAGCCGCTCGTCTTCCTGGCCAGGCTCCGGTTCCACAGGCTCATGCCTCATTAGGCTTATGAGCAAACCCGACACCTATCCGTTGCCAGTCAACCAGCTGAAATCCAGTCATTTCCAGAAGGGAACCCGCTGTTGTACCTTTGGTCAAGGTGCCCAGTGCTGGGACCGAGTTGAACAAATAAACTTAAGTTGTGCTGAGTGTAAAATTGACATTCGATTCAATGAATGTCACTTGTAGGTAACGCTAATACATATCATGTCAGTGTTGAGTGAGTCAGACATGGATGGCACTGCATGCACACGTGCTGATCAGCCTGATCAAGGAAACGCGTATGAATGCATCACTAGCTGGTGCTGCTGTCATGAATCCGGGCGGCTCAAACACGAGGACATCGCATCAGGCACAAAAAATGGTGGACGACCCACTAAAAAAGGGGTTTATTAAACAAAACAGAAAAAAACTACAAAGCCAAAAAGGACCACAAGGGGTCAAAAACTGAAGGAGATTAAACAAAACTAAATAACAAAGACTAAATAACAAAACCAAATACACATTGAACACTGAAAATATCTAAACCATCAAACATCCATGAAATATCCATGAAATATCCATGAAATATCCATGAAATATCCATGAAATATCCATGAAATATCCATGAAATATCCATGAAATATCCATGAAATAACCACAACACATCACACAACAACACACAGACAACAATGAACTGCTGGGGAACTGAACAGAAGCAGGAACTAAAATACTAAAGGGGTAACGAGACTAACACAGGACAGGTGAGGCTAATTAACAAAGACCAGGGAAACAGGGCACAGGTGAAACTAATAACTCAAAGGAACTAAAAACAGGGAAACTAAGAACTAACCAAGGAAATATAAACCAACACTAGGGAATTAAACAGGTAAATACAAGCAGAGGCACAAGGAACAAAACCAAATACAAAAATCGCCAGATACAATAACTAGAAACACTAAGGAGCAACATACAAAAACAGGAGGCGGGATTCAAACACAGGACAGAAGGGTACTCAGGACAGAAGGGCACACAGACAACCACATGTTAAACACATTGAGCCACATGACCAGACAGGTAACAGGGGAGAACAAAGACTAACATGAAGGACGGGATGACCAGCGACACCTGCTGGTCAAACGGGGAAGGGACACGTTAGGACCACAGCAGGGGCTGACCCTGACAGCTGAAGGAAGATGCCTGGTAAAAAGAATGTCTGTGTATTTTAGAGGAAATTGCATAAAATTGTCTTTTAATATATCCACACTTCAGTGATGCTAGAAACAATTAAATAGGAGTAACAAAAAGGCCTAATTTTTATGTCATTAAGAAAGTAATAATTAGCATATAAAACGTCCTCTGACAGATCAGCCCAAGTCACGAGAGGATGGAGAAATTGCGGCCCTTGTTGTACAATGGGAAACAGTGCCGGGAACTCAGCATCCGCTGCAGGCCTCAAATGAACTTCAGAAAGCAATACAAGCACAAGTCATGCGATGCATATTAATGCAGAACAATCTTTTGTATTATTGTTTTTTCTTAATCTGTGAAAAAACGCCGATAAAACACGAGTTATAAGGGGCTGTACTGCCGCGGGGCTGCATCTCCTTTAAAGGCTGCGGCTCTCCGTACTGATACAGAATTACCAGAGTAACAGGCCTCCTGCCCTCCTGCCCTCCTGCTGGTTCTGAGGAAAGTGCACACATGACAGGTCTATTAAGAATAACAACCCAAGGAATAGCCTCGTTAAGCTATTTTTATGCAGAGCAAGAAAGCTAATTGTCGCTGTTAGCAAATCCCCTGCTCTACAACACAAGCATTGACATTAATTTGATGGTTCTGCACTATGTTTTGAAAGTTGCTGGTCCAAATTGCTTCATTGGAAGAATGATTTCAAGGCCATTAATCCACAATTGATTCAGGGACTGGCTGTTTCTTAATTGTGTGTTTTATAAATAAATAAATATCATTTATATACAGAAAAATAAGTGTACTTAGACTGCCACCTCCAGTTCACATGCTCTCCCTGTGCTCAAGTAGCTGATCCAAGGACAAGGCATGGAGCTGATGGGCTGTCCAAGGTACTGCATGGATGAGAATCAGAAGGACTGAGACAGAGATGGCATCCGCCTTGGGGGGGCAGACTGGCTGTATTGGGGGCCCATTCAGTGGAAGAATATGCTGCTCGGTCTGGGAGGTGAAGGAGATGCAGCTACGGACAGAACAAGGCCTTTTAAATCCAGGTACCGAATGGCAACTTCGCTGGCATGCAGCTCACAAGCAACTGGATAATCGCCTAAATGAGGAGAATGAGAGTGTTGGAGTGTGTCCTCCTCTTGAAGCTGCTACATTAATATGAGGTGGTGGCTGGTGGGGTTATTTACTGTATCAGACAGACAGACCTATATGTATGCAGAAACTCCCACTCCGCCATCTCCCTCCACCAAAGGGATCTTACACCAAATTGAGAACCTTCTACACTGTCCTCCTCCAAGCTGTCACCATGTGGTTCCCCTGTTACCTCTGTTCTTGTTTTTCTTCCCTTTACCTTCTCATGAGAGTTTCCACCGTTTAACTTCTTGTCTTTCCATCGACGCCCTGAGTCACCAGACCTTTTTTTGACCGAAGCTTGTCACCAGTATATTGTTTACTTTAGAGAGAACACTCGTGATTGAAGTACGCCTGGAGAGATGGAGCTGTTTGCCACCTCATACGCCCACGTGGGGAACTGCAGGAGGTTCCTGTGAAACCCCACCAGCTATTTAGTGGCTTATCCAGAAACTTTAGATGGACCTGATACAAGTAGAGTCTCACTCAGCTTTAATATCATTCCTGAGATCTGTGTCACACTTCCATTGTTTTGGAAAAACACTCCCCAAGCAACTTGCAAATCTGAAGTAACAGGCCAGTTAAAGCTGGTTCTCTCACCTGCATGGAGATTGTGAAAACTCAATCTGTTACAGTTAAATCACTGTGGCGGTGTCTGTGATGCTAGGAAAGGCGGGGCTTTGCCCCAAGGGCGTAGATTTGCTCTGGACATTGGTGGGGACCTATGCCATATTCAGCGAGTCTGTCCGGAGCACATCTTGGATTATTTCTGACCTCTTCATCAAGGTGGTTTTGATCTTTGTCTGATTGATGCCCCCTAAACCT